TTTTAGACATGGCAGTAATAATAATAAATGAAAAAAAAGAATGTAATTTCTAATTATAAAATAAAGTTGCAAAGGTATTAAAGCCATGTGAATTTGTTAATAATATTGAATGATATATGGATTTTTTATATCCTTCTCCACCATTAACCTTAAGCTTTGTGTTTACATTTTGAATTTTTTGAATGATATCTACTTCTACATAAGGTATTAGCTTTTTTGCAAACATATCTTGCCGTAAGACAATCCTCTTTATAGTTGCATACTCTATTGCTAGCAAATGCATTTGACTATAATCTTGCAGCCTTAATAATACTAATGGTCATATTAATTGGAGGATTATCTAGCTCTGAAAATTCTTTTGGCCCAAGTGGTAAAACCACACTAGCTAAAAATACTTTATCAAAAATACCAAATTGGCTTATAAGACGATACATATTTCTAAAAAATACTTTATGTACTTTGCAAAGAAGTGCAAAACGATCTTTAGGAACACAGTTAATTTTATCAATTTGAACCTTTACTAAATTACCAACTTTGTAAGTATGTTCATGAATTTTATATTTCGTATACATCTGATACTTCATCTTGGAACGATAATTTTCAAGATTTTTATTTGCAACATTATAATAGATATTATGTTGTGAGGTCAGATTATTTGAAGCTTCTTAAATAGTCTGAATATGACATTTTTTATAAGAAGTATATGAATTAACAAATGTTTGATTTTCCTATTTATAAATAGAAATTTGTTATAAAAATTTCTAATATAAAAAAAGAATAAGTAAAGTTTTATACCAACCTTGTTTTTTGCAATTCGCTTTTGATTATTTACAATCTTATCTTGTATTAAAATTGTTTGCTCTCCAACTATTTTAGCATTATTACTAATCGTTTGTTGTATTTGTTGACAATTAATAGTAGTTTGTTGCAGAGTTGTGCAATCATTCATATTTATGTATACTTGAGAGTTTATAATTTAGTTATCTTGTTAATTATCCTATAATATTATTATATATAAGTAAAATTAATTAAAAATATTAAATGAACTATTAGCCCAAATATTTATCAATCTATGTTTATTAATAGATTTAGTTACAATCAAATATGCATCAATTAGTGAGCTGCTATTCTCATCTATATTGCTATTCTCTTTTTACATAGTATCAGAAAGTGGAATTGAAGGTCAAGAACTTGAAGAAGTTGTACAAAAATTTTTATCTTCATAATACAAGTCATCATCTTCATTTTCAGAATATTTCTTATTTTCAATAATACCTTCAGGCAAGTTTTCTTCCATATTGATATTATGTTTTTTTTTTTTTTTTTGGTGTTAAGGTAACCTCTACGGCCAGGGACTTTTTATTAACTTATTAAC